GACTACAAGGATGCTGGGGAGGGACTCTTCATTAGGGACTGTAGTGGTAGGACAAGGGGTAATGGGTTCAAACAGGGGAAGTTTAGATCAGATATAAGGAGGAAGTTCTTCCCTGTGGGTGTAGTGAGGCACTGGAACGGGTTGCCCAAAGAAGTGGTAAATGCTCCATCCCCGGCAGTGTTCAAGACCAGGTTGGACGGAGTCTTAGATGACATAGTTTAGTGTGTGGTGTCCCTGCTCATGGCAGGGGGGGTGGAAAGAGATGATCTTAAAGTCCTTTCCAACCCTGACTATTCTATAATTCTATGATTCTCTGCTGGGCAGTTGTGCTAGTAATGAACTGTCCCTGTTTCTGAGAGGAACACCGCTGGTTTTAGAGCATGCAAATGCTGTCTGTAGCAGAGAAGCCTGCAGGTTTCCTGCTGCCAGGCATTACGTCATCTGCAGATAGATTCTGAGGACTAGTTGCAGTTTTCTAGGTTTAGTGAATTTGTTTAATCATTTCATCCCTGTATGTTAGAGTGAGTGATTCATTTTCCATTGCTGGAAGCCCTGCAGTTCAGGGAGAGCAGTGTGCAGGTATTTTCAGGCAGTAAATCTATCTGACTTAACATGGAAAGAGGTTGCGCTCCGGGTCAGCCAGTTTTGTGAGCAATGAAGCCTCTGAATCCCAAGCATATCCTGCTTCTCCCAGCTGGCTCTCAAGTGCAGAAAGCAATCTTGACAAGGGATAGAGGAAATAAAATGAAGACAGAAATACTTGATCAGGAGTCCAGGGAATCTTTCAGGGGTATTGCCTGCATCAATTCACACTGTGTATACTAGATTTCTGCAGAGTCCCAAGCCAGTCCTTGCCTGCTTTATCTTTCCTGTCCTCCTGTGGCAGAATTCATGTATCATAGCACTGGATGTGAACTGGAGAGTGGCTGCTCTTGTTTGCAATGGTTTAATTAGAAAGTTGTGTTGATAGGGTTAAAGACTGACCTCTCATACTTGGTTAGGACATTTTCCAAAGCAGTCAGGGATTGACATGGAGAAGATATGCACATGATTAAAGCTGTGCCATGTGCCATAGGAAATGCTGGGAAGGGATACAGTCATGTTGAAGTTCTCTGCTGTGCTTCCAGACATGCACTGAGGTTATTTGAGATCTTACCTGCTTAAAGAGGTGTTATAATAAAGATATTATTACGAGTAAAATGCTGTGCATTTTCAGAGCACCCTTCGAGGCAAAACAGTTACATTATGTGAGCATGAGCTTGCATCTTAGTTAAATGCAGTACCATCAAAAGGAAAATTACTATCTTGTCAAATGTATTTCAGGTTACATACTGCAGGGTGTGACAGCATCCTTGTAAAGCTTCAGGAATGAACTCATATCTAGAGCACGTGTTCAGTGCCAGGCCTGTTGCAGAGGAGAGAATTCCAGTGTCCTTTGATGCCATCTCACCCGTGGCAGATGTTACTGTGGCCCTTGGCACTGAGCAGCCAGTTTTGGTTCTTTGCTGGAAGAGAGAGGGTGGGGAATCCATGGCAAATGATGAAGAACAAGCCTCAGCATGCTGCCTTTTCTTCTTCCTCCCTTCTCACTTATGTCTGCAGCACCCTGGAAATACTCAGGAAACTGTTTCTGATTCCTGTCTTAGGAAAACACGATCATACTCTCAATTTATGGTAATGAAATCGCTCTGTGCTTGGAAGAATTATTCCTGATCCTCCTTCCATTGAGAGGACAGACCAAGTCAGAAAGATTTAGAGAACACCGATAAAATCAGATTTCACTGCTACCACTGCTGGGGAATCCTGGTTCACAGAGAGGTAGATTGTTCCTCACACACAGAGTGTGTGCAGAGGTGGCAGAGATGGAAATGAGTGGAATTGCCAGAATATGCAGTGAGTTGACCAAGTGTAGCGAGTGCATGAAATGAAACAATCTCATATATAAAGGATAATTGTGTCAAAAGGCACATTAGGAAAGCTGAGTTGTCTGGAGCACATACATGCCTTTATAGCTTACTAAATATCTGTGTTCCAAAACCTCGAATATTGTTTAGTGATTCCTGAATTAATTCTCGGTTTAAGCCATTAAAAAAGCACATTCACAACCCCCAAATTTTCTAACATTCCTAAATCTTCCTAAGCTGGAAGATAAAGTGCAATTTGTGAAGGGGGAAAAAAAGTTGTCTTTATGAAAAGCCACTGAACAAGCCGTGCCTGTACTTTAGGTCTGGTGCATGAGTTAGGCATGTGCAGGCAGTGCTGGTTAAGTTGGGCAACAGCTTGTGTTGCAATGTTTCACCTGCAGGTTTGGCTGATGGGAGCACTTTCAAAGTGAATGTTTCAGTGGAATTTCTGTGTCCTAATTCTTTTTTGGCTGGGCTCTTGGTATTCTTTGAATGCAGGCCAACACATTAATGCTCACTTATGCACACTCAGGTTTATTAATTATGAAACTAGGAAAATGTTGTCAGCAGCTACTTTTGCAAGGAGAATTTTAGCTGTGTGTTAAAAACTGTTCAGAAATGTAAATACTTTGGGGTAGGTTATAAGAGATCAGCTGGCTGGCTGTCCTTCCTGAGGAGCGGGGAAGGAGAGCTGATTTTCCAGAGATTATTATCCATCTCCATGCAGGCTATTTCACTGCTAGCCAGTTTATGAGGTTGTTCCTTACTCTTGTCCAGGTCACTAAGCTCATATGCAAAGCCAGCATACTGGGTGCTCTCCATTTCTAGGTGCTGCTGCTGACTCATGGTTTATCATTTCTGGCTAGTTACAGAACTCCTTTGAGCTGCTGTTAATCAAAGTGTAGAACTAGTGCATTAACTCACACTTTATTGGAGTCTGAGAAAGCTTAAATCAGTGTTTTTAAGCACTATGATCTGGACTAAAAAAGTTAAGTATAACATTTTTATTGATTTCCTGCAGAACAGCAGTGGAATATTAAGTTGAATGAAAATATTCTTGTCCCTCCCATTCCAAACAAGCTTGAAATCTTGAGCAATCAGAGAATAAAGATACCTTTCTACTGTACATGCACTAGTGGGGAGGCCTTTGGCTGGATTACTCACTATTTATTGTAACCTTTATTATAAAATACTTGTTCGGGGAAAATCCTGTAGGGCAGCAGCATTCGTGCTGTGAGATTAGATGCCTGCTGACTTACAAAGAGAAGAAAAGGATACCATGTCTGGGATTAATAGTTTGGAGATTTTTCTCTCTGTGCTGTTCACATTGCAGTCTCTGGATTCTCTTAAGGAACAGGAGTGTGAAAAGGGAACATTTGGAAGAAACACATAAGACCTTTTTGGGATGAAGGTGTGATGCAAGAACAGCTCATGTAGTTCCCACCAAAGCCCAGCCAGCCCAGTATCCTGTCTCCACCAAAACTTAGAGCAGATTCCTAGGGAATATGATCATAATGAGGCCAACAAACAGCAGTACTTTCCCAGAATACTTTCCTCTTCCAAGAGGGACTTCCTGAGCCAAAAGTGGTGTCTTTTGTCTTTAATATCCCTCAGTGGACTTTTCTTCCATGAAGCTGCAGAGTAGCTCTTTGAACTCACATAAGGGAGTCTGTGTTTTGCATTGTGGTGCTGCTCTAGACTTTGGCTCAGACTGTTGGGAATAGTTACCTTCTTCCTGCTATTTTTGGTTTTGGGGGGGTTATGACAATCATAACTAAAAAAGCAGTGACCCTAATGTGCCACAGAAGGCCAGCTAATTGTGAATGTTAGTCTTTTCCCTAACAGAAAATGATGTCCACAGGTGTGCAGTATTCTATATATCAGATTAGAGCTGGGCCCTGGCTGTGTTTTATTCTTTTTTATTATCATTATTCATATTTTACTTTGGTTTTATCCTCCCTGAACCGTGGATTAACCTTGCAAAGACAGCTTGTGGGGGTCTCAGCATGGTGGTTTTCATTGCTTATCATGAAATGGGGTAGCAGCTTGGTTTGCAGGGTGAATGATGGAGGAGGATGGAAGGACAGGGGCAAGGAATGAAGCAGGACTTCTCAGGTCATGCTGGGCCAAAATGTCCAAGATGAATGTCCAGACAGCTAGAATAAACCTGGCTGCAGCATGGAGGGAGCACAGGCCATGTCTAGTGTGTGCTTTGATCCTATTCATTATTTTATTGTTGTGGAACTGCAAGATTGGATTCAGTTTCTGCTTAATCTCCTAAAAACACTGCCAGCAATTTTCAATATTGCACTGAAAAGTGTCCCCAGCTTGTGAGCTAGATCTAAATGCTGTCTTTGCTAGTTTGGTAACATCTGTCAAGTCACCGAAACACTGTTGTGAACCCAGATGCCCTTTCTTAGCCCATCACTGCTCTCAATCATGTGCAACAGATAATTACCTCAGTTTCCCCATTGTTACCATGGGGCCGCTGAGGGCAAAAAGCACAAATACACCTAACAGTAAAGGAGGAATCGTGGAGACCTGTAACATCCTGAGTGTGGAGTCCAGAGCAGGAGTCTGAGGCACACTCACAGCAGTTGTCTGGACAGGTTCTTCCTGGCTGGTGCTTCTGTGCTAGTCTACGTGTAGAGAGCCAGAACTTCACTCACTTGTTTGTATTATTTAACTTATGTTGGATTTTATTCCTTTGTTTCAGCTCAAAAAGAAGCAGGTCTATGTTGAGAAGGTGGAGAAGATGCAGCAGGCCTTGGTTCAGCTGCAGGCAGCATGTGAGAAACGGGAACAGCTGGAACACAGGCTGCGGACCCGGCTGGAGAGAGAACTGGAATCTCTCCGGATGCAGCAGGTACCTGCTGTTGCTCTGTGCCACACTAGGTTTCTTGCAGGATTGTATATTACACCCTACACCACACATAAAAGGGCAGTGGTTTCTTCTATCTTGTAATTGGTAGCTAGAATCATGGGTTTGCTGGCTATTGTGTTGCTTTGCCTAGATTTAATTCTTCCATTCCTACCAGAAAAGTTAGGTAAGAGAGCAGAGGGGATCCATCGCAGCCGTGTAGCTAGATGGTGTTCTATCTTTGAGTAACCTGGTTATATTTGCTTTTAAATGATTTAAAAGATTTTGTTCACAGTTTGAGATTATATATAAAATGAATTAACTGGCCTGAAAAGAGGCCTTTCAGAAAGCTTTTGCATTTAAAAAACCCAAAGAAAACCCAAACAGCAAAACCAGTTCTGTAAGTGCGGTTGATGGAAATGGATGGGAGCTTCACGTAGAGCTGTGAGTTAAGCTGCTTTTCTTGGGAGCAGTGCTTGATGTTTTATGACTTCTGAGTTTCAACATTTGAAAAATAGAAGGAGCCTTTCTTGCATTATATGAGCTTGTTTCCTGGTTTTGATAGAGTGAGGCTGAACTGCCCCTGCAGATGTTTCAGATTAAGCTCTAAAGGAGATGGTTACCATCGCCTAGTCTGCCCAGCATGGCACAGGCCACAGCAGTTCACTCTGGGAGGTACTTGCCCCAAGCCAGTGCTGCTCTGGACCAGCCTCCATCCTTCAGACAAAAAGCAAACAAACCAACCCTGAGTCTTAGAGATGCATCTTGAGACTTCCTTTTCCTTTTCCCTGCTGTTGGAAATCAGCGTCAGGGTACATCTCAGACTGCCAACGTCTCAGAGTACAACGCCACGGCGCTTATGGAGCTCCTGCGCGAGAAGGAGGAAAGGATTCTTGCTCTGGAAGCTGACATGACCAAGTGGGAACAGAAATACCTGGAGGAGAGCGTGATGAGACAGTTTGCTTTGGATGCAGCTGCAACTGTGGCTGCGCAGAGGTGAATAAGGCTTTTCATAGTACTGGGATTATGTTCTTTCTCCAGTTGAATGTCATATTTCCCACCAAGGAATGTTGTCATACCCATGATACCTCACCTTGTGGTCTGAACAGCTTCTCAGACTTCTGCATGCGAGTGGAGCTTGGCTGCTTTTCCTGGGAGCTCTGCAATTGCCAACTATTAGAGACTTTTTTTTTTTCCCAGGGGAAGATTCCTCCACATGCAGGAGCCGTTTTCCAGACTAGAATTGTTCTAAGCCATTCCTAGAAGCTGTTGATTCAAAAATAGTGTATGAGAAGGGGTTTGTTTGTTTTGGGGGGGTTTTAAACAAGAATCAGTCCTCGCTGAAGTTATGTGAGCTGGGGTAAGCTTGGTGATTCACAGCACTCACCCTGAATGCCTTACTTGTTCTCCAGCATGTTTTTGCAAATTACTTTGTGGTATTGTCCTCAACATGGTTATAACCAGAAACATCTACTAGGAAATTGTGCTCCAAACATTCTGCTGTGTATGGAGAGCACTGCTTGCAGGGGTGGAAGGGTGTCTGACATCTGGTAACAAGCTCACATTCCAAGACAACTGAACAGGAACACTTACTATGGCTGTAAATAGGCCCAAGTGCTTCAGCTAGTTGGTAAACAAGAGCTGTTATTGGAGCGTGACTCTTTAGCATTAGGTATTGCTTACATATAATTTCATGCCTCACTAGTTTCTGGTTCTTGATGGCAGATTTTGTTTTAGATTGTTTATGAACCTGATTGGAATAGGGATGTTATGACAACTGGCTTCCTAGCTCATATTAGAATTACAGGGGTAAAGCTGCAGATTTGCTTTGTTAGTGTTTAAAGACTTATCTTATCTTGCTCCAGGAGCAGGCTGTTATTTTAGGGTATTGATGCTTCTTGTGCACAGTTTTCCACCTCCCCAGAGATTCTCTAAAGGCTCTTGCTACTGCTTGTCCTTAGAGGCCATGTCGTATTTTCAGCTGTGTGCTGATAAGTAGGGGTCTGGTCTCTTGTTTATCGTGGAATGAAAGGGGATGTGTTAGGCCTGTTCAGGTTTTGTTAAATGAACAGTCAGGAAAGAGCCAGCCTCTGTTTTTACATTTCCTTCTAGCTGCTTCTCCCCCAGAGGAGAGTATTCCATTAGCATCAGTACTTCTGCAAGTTTACGTGTTGGTTAGTGGACCGAACAACTATCACAGTGTTAACACCAGGCACTGGATGGAATCAGTGTAAAACTGTTTTCAACCCACTCCAAGTTTTTTTGGACCAACCTGCTTAGGATTGCTTAAGAAACTTCCATGCCTAGTTCGCTTGATACTCAGATTCCCTGTATGATACTGTTGGAATGGGAGAGGGAAAAGCTTTATATCTGAAGCAAAGTTTGTGCTGTTTCAAGTGAAGTGCTTAGTGTTCTATGCCATCCATTCCCTCCCCAAGGCCTTGAATTTGCCTCACTGGTAGGATTACAATAGCTCAGTGAATCAGTTAGATTATGGACTGGCCTGAGATGGATGGTAGATTGCATATCGCTGTAATGACTTGAATAGTTTGTAATCCTTCTTTCATTAGGACTGAAAGTGGGATTTTTGGCAGACAGTGAGCCAAAACTCAAAAAAGTGGATATTATTGTTTGTTACTGTTGAGCAATAATTTTGTGCTGCTAGGAGGAAAATAGCAAACTTAACTGGTTCTTTGTCTGCTCTGCTGCTTGTTCTCAGGGACACGACAGTGATCAGCCACTCGCCTAACCCTAGCTATGACACCTCGCTGGAAGCTCGCATTCAGAAGGAGGAGGAAGAGATCCTGCTTGCCAACAGGAGGTGTCTCGACATGGAGGGAAGGTAAAATGCAGTTTGGTCCTATCTGTCTTCTTTAGAACAGGGATTTTAAATTAATTGTCTGAGTAGACGCCTCAGAACCAGAAATTCTTGTGTCTTCACCAATAGCAATGATGTAGGATGCTAGACGCTCATTTGGCCAAGGAAGTATCTACATGGCAATCCAAAACCTGTCTTGATACTGAGGGCTAATGCAAAAAAAACCTACTCTTAGATTTTTTGCACTTAGCTTGTTCCTCTTCTCTCTTCAGGGCATCTTCATCAGACCCCAGGCTCCATCCTCATTTTAACACACCCACAGAACTCTTTTCCCTGGGGTTGGGTCCAGTGCAGACTCCCCAGAGTGTGTTAATCTTCTTTCTGTTGGTCTCATGTCCTGCCCATAACCCTCAGCTTTGTCTCAAAGCTCCTTGCGTGGCTGTTTAGAGCAGCTTCCAGTAGAATCATAGAATCATAGAATAGTTAGGGTTGGAAAGGACCTTAAGATCATCTAGTTCCAACCCCCCTGCCATGAGCAGGGACACCACACACTAAACTATGTCGCCCAAGGCTCTGTCCAGCCTGGCCTTAAACGCCTCCAGGGTTGGAGCATTCACAACTTCCTTGGGCAACCTATTCCAGTGCCTCAGCACCCTCACTGTGAAGAACTTCTTCCTTAGATCTAACCTAAAGTTCCCCTGTTTAAGTTTAAACCCATTACCCCTTGTCCTACCACTAGAGTCCCTAATGAAGAGTCCCTTCCCAGCATCCTTGTAGACCCCAGTAGCCAGAGGTGGGAGGGTATCTCAGTGCTGTTCACTCATGCACGTGTACAGGAAGTCTCATGCATGATCTGCTCTGGTGGGCTAGTGAGCAGCCAGTATTCAGAGCAACAAGCTCACTGGCATCCTCTCTCTGCCTCCTCACATGCCTGAGGGTGTCCCAGTCACAGCCATGGGGGCACTGAGGCCTCAGTCCAAGGAGACAGGAGTACAAGTACATTGTTCGTCTTTGTACTTCTCCAAAGGATTAAGACTCTGCACGCTCAGATCATTGAGAAGGATGCCATGATCAAAGTCCTGCAGCAGCGCTCCCGGAAGGAGCCGGGAAAGACGGACCAGCTCTCCTCAATGAGACCTGCCAAGTCGCTGATGTCCATTTCAAACGCTGGCTCAGGCTTGCTGTCCCACTCCTCAACACTGAGCAGCACTCCCATCCTGGAGGAGAAGAGGGAGGACAAGAGCTGGAAAGGCAGCCTAGGTAAGTTTAAAATAACTGCGTCAGTTCCGATATGCAGGTCACCTTAGAGGGGAGGCAGGAGCAGCAGAAGGAAGAGGGTGTGTTGGTCAGACAGATCAGCGCGCAGGAAAGCTGACTGCAAGCAAGATGGAACACTTTTAGCACAATTGCTTGTTTTAATCACTTTAGGAAACAGCACTTCTGATGTCCAGGCTCTGTCATTCAACTATGAAAGCCTTTATTCCTGCTTTGATACCTGACTTTAGGGATATTTGAGTTACAGTTCTCAGAGTTCCCAAGTGCTTGCTTTCATCTGGGTTGTTACAGCTACCTGAATGTGTAAAGTCTCCTTGAATAGGAGCAAAGATACTAATCAGGATTGCTGTCCTGTAGTGTTGTGCCTGCACTAACCTGGCTCCTGTCTGGAATGGCTCAACACCATTATTCAGAGAAACTGATTTGTTACAAAGCAAATCTTAGATGATCTTTTTGTTCTGAGGGAAGTTAGGCCCAAAGGCCCTCCCTTGAAGACTAAAAGACCCTGAAATGTAAATGAGAATCTGTTGCAGCTGATTTCATTGTGCAGATTTACCCTGCCATAGATGGGCCACTACTTAAGAGACGGGTAAGTAAGCCGTTAGTGCCCACTTGTGTATCTTCACATGCAGGATGGATGAGGATACTGCTATTCCTCATGTACTTCAGCACCCAGTGGTGAAAGGTGCTCTAGAAAGGTAAATGAGTGCTGTCTGTTGAAGCAGAGAGCACTTCCCAGACCCTAGAGCAAGTACTAAGAGGGATGCAGAACTGATACCAGTTAGTTTTCTGGGATCTTGACATTTCCTTCCCTTTTTTCACGAAGGTGTTCTGCTGGGAACAGAATATCGCTCCGAATCCATTCCCTCCACCCCCTCTCCCGTCCTTCCTTCCACACCATTGCTGTCAGCCCACTCGAAAACAGGCAGCAGAGACTGCAGCACCCAGACTGACCGAGGCAACGAACAAAGCAAAGCTGCACCTTCCACTGCAGCACCCACACCAGGACGACTCCCCAGTACCAACCTGGCTTACAGCACAGACAAAACAGGTAACAGAGCTCAGCTGCTCTCCCAGAGGGGCTCCTGCCACTGACTTACCATCAGTTCTGCTCAGTGGGGCAGACCCTGCCATCCCTTCATCCATTAGGAACACTGGGTTTAGTTTTTGTGAGGACAGAAGGGTTTCAGAGGCAAGTGTGGCAGTGTTCTGAAGGGTCTCAGCTGCTCTGAAGGGATTAAAAAAGGCTGAAAGAGTGGTAGCATAAGAATGGACACACAGGGTAGAGAGGTATAGCAAGGTTTAAGAATTGGAGCGGGTATATGCAAATCCCAAGATAGTCTCTGAGTCAGTGTCTACTCAAGTAAATCGTGAGTAGCACGAGGGGTTTAAACAGCGTATGAAAATGGGCTGTAGAAACTGGCCATTGCATTTCAGTGGGTGTTCAAAGCAAAGTGGACTCAGATAAGGGGGAGGAAGAAGGAGGAAAGGTAATTCTTGGGACAAAACTGGCCCATAATTGTACTGTCCCAGTCTCAGGACCGACCTCAGCATTGGCCCAAGTAGATCCACTTGACAGTGACTGTCACAGAAGCTGAATTTGCTTCCCACAGAGCTCCGAGCTGGCAAGAGCTGCTCATTTTCCAGCCCACTCTGCCAAATCAATGCAGATTACACAACTTTGCCTCTTCTACTTACAGACACGTTACAATTATGTTGTTCTTTATGGAAGAGTGAATTTGGCTGGTCTGCCGTGCATTTTACCCATGCTGAGCTATTTAATGGGTATCAAGGGAGACAGGGGAACAGGTTTTGTGGCGAGAGTCTGTGCTGACGACATTAGTTTAAATGCAGTCACTCCAGTTTCACATGCCATTGTGTATCAGTGGGACATACCCAAAGGGAGTTTGATAAAATATCTTTATCTGGCTACATACATGAAGAATTGATTGTTTTAAAATGAAATAAGGAGTTGTCAGCTATCTTTTGGCCGGTGCTAGAAGATGACTTTTAAAATGTTAATGTCATTATTTCTGACCTCATTGAAGTTACAGCTTTGATTGTCTGTCTCTTGTTTTTCCTCATCACGTAGATGGGCCAATCTTCCACTCCAGCACCCTTGAAAGAAAAGCCCCTGTTCAGACCATGGGGCAGGACCTCCCAGATGGAGAGATGGTAGAATACCTCATCTGAAAGGCTGTACCAGGATCTGAGCTGGGATACAATAGCAAGAAATTCTTAAAAGACATTTTTATTGGGAAAAAAATGTAGTACCTGAGTAATAAAAGAACACTCAGCTGTTTGCTCTTGTATATTATGTCTCAAAAGTATGGACAGGTTAATTTATAATTTGTTCTAAATTATAAAAACCCCCATAACACTTGTTCTTTGGAAGTTTCCCCCTTTATTGTTTAAATACTGGATCATGTAACATCTGGAGAAAACCCCAAGAACTTAGGTGCACTACATCAGATATTTCATTTCAGTGTTTAAAGTCTCCTAAACAGAAGTACCTCCTCTCACAGCTGTTGGTTAAATGTCTGAATTGATCACAGCAAGGTGAGCTTGATGCCCTTCTCATGAGCAGAACCAGGGACTCAGTTGTGAGCATCACTTAATGGTTTTAGAATACAAGTGTTCTGAGAAACTTACTTACAAATGTGAGCTGTGATCAAGGGAGATTTCTCTTTACCCTTTTTCTTTACACTCGGTGTAAGAACTCAGAATAGGTATTTCACACTCATAGGCTGGAAAGTTTTCCATACTCTTTTTTTACTTCCCAAATTGTGCTATTTCTTTATTAAAGGAAGACTCCGGTGATTAATGTCACGTTTCACAAGTTTAGATTCATTGAAAGATTTGCCACTCTTTTCTACGTAAGTACTTTTTCAGTAATTTATACAGTGGATAGTAAATAATATATTGCATTCATGTTTTACATAAATTTAAAAAGGAGAGTTTACAGGCTCAGTCCTGATCTGTTAGATCAGATTTCTGCTGTTAGAATTCCATTGGCTTTAGTGGAACTACTCCAAATTTACCATAGTGCAAGTGGCAAGCCCTCTTGCTTTTCAGTGTTAGCAACTTAGTCTGCTGCATCTGTGGAGATCTTTCTCTGTAGCAGATTTGTCTGTGTTTCAAATGTCCTTTTTATGTCCCTCCTTCTTGAAGATACTAGATTCTTTTTCACATAGCAAAACCTCAGAGGGAGAGCTTTAAAGAGAAGCTCTCTGTAAAGTTTCAGATGGCAAATTTTCTCCTTCCAAAATATTTTGTTTCTTCATCTAACAGGAGAGAGCAGCTTAAGGAAAGTCCCAGTGGCATTACAGAAGAAACTTACACATTCAAGTCATTGGGTTCACTTTCAGAGTACTGAGAACTAGCACAGATGCAGCAATGCTTTGGTTGCAGATGTTATAAGGAGATATTAAGACCAATAGAAGTAAATGAGTATTTTTTTTTGTTACTGTCTTTGCATTTTATTAAAACACTTCAATATTAATTTCTGTTAAAAACTACTTTTTTTACTTGAATGTTAAAATATGTAATTAGCATTGGGAATCTGGTGAGTCTCAGCTTTCTGGGCAGCATTAGAGTAGCCAGATTTTCATTTCAGATCATTTCACCCCAGAAATAAGAAAAGCCAGCAATTAATCATCAAACAGTGAATATCCTCAATTCCTACTTAGTTGACACTACCCATATGGTGTCCAACTGAAATGGCCTTACCAGATACAGCTTGAATTTCACAATGGAGGGTTGGAAGGTGAAAGAAGGTGCCTTCTGTCTGCTGCACAGGTGACTTAGTGGTGCCTAAAGATCAGCCAAGAGTTGGATTCTGTTTGTCTTCTAGTGGTAATCACTTAAAACCCAAGGAAACCACTTGCCATCATTTCTAGCAGATCTGCTGCTTGTTAGTGTTCTTCAGGCAATATTCCTAGACCCACGAAAGCTTGGGATGGCAAAATGGTTATGGTAAGATATGTACTAAGCCTAAATAGCCTGGCTTTACCAGTGACTAACAGGCAGCACAACCTTCCTTCCATCACCACTACTTCAGACACTTCAAAGCTGCATTTTGAGGCTTTGACTGTTTCTGCCATGTGGGACAACATCTTTCTGGACAATGCATTAGATCTTCCTTACTTAAGTGTATCCTAATCATCTGAATTAGTTCTTTACCCTTTTCTGGAGAAACTATTGACAGCCTCTTTGTTCTTATCCCTGAGACTGTCTTAGATTTATTTCTCTTGGCTTAATTCCACCCCAGTATATGAAGTAACGCCACTCTGGAGGATTTGAAGTGATTTCTCTTCCTCTTCCACAGTTGTTGGAAATGCAGAAGCTTTTCTCAGTAGCTCAAGGTGTCCATCTTTCTGCCATTTCAGCATAATCTTCTATATAATATTATGTGGTTTGGGCTTAGAATGAAAAACAAGGGAGATCAAATGCTATTAAGGGGGGGGGGGCAGAGAGATGTTCGAGGGCTTTTCTGTTCTTTTAATATCAGGAAAAAATTATGCTCCATCTTTACAAGTACTTCTCAGCAGTGGGAAAGAAGTTTTGCAACTGTAGGGCTCTAGATAAACAGTTCCAGCTCACTTGCTTCACATTAATTCTAAGTTTGGACCCTTTACATATAAAATCTGATTTACAAAACTGATTTTCCCCAGTCAATACTGGCTGTTCAGCTGGGCTGGGTAGGAATAATTGGTTTATCCTCCTTGCAGCTCATTATTTTCAAGCTGACTGCCACTGTAATCTAGTTTTACAAAGAAATAAAGGCTATAAATAGCTTTCTGTGAATAAAATACAGATGATGGACAGCAACTGTCTCCTCCAGAAATGGAAGCCAGGAGTTCTCTGCCTGTGGAAGAAGATGGTGCAGTTTTACATTGCTTAGGTCAGGTTCTTTGCCTTATTTTGTAGTTTTGATTTCTTCCGGAAGCAAAACCCCTAAAACTTTTGACATGGAAGTTTGAGGTCATTTCCCTGTGCTGACAAACTAGGAGCCATCAGGAATGTATTCTTTCCCTTGAGCTTCCTCAGAGCCATCCTGATGTGAATGTAAAAGAGCTGCTTGCTTTGAGGAAGATGTGTACCATAGTCTTCAGTCTCTCTGTACAGATTTGTATTTTGTTTTGAAACAGAAACTGCTTTAAGGAGACAAACTGCACACCTAGTTCCTTTTCCTTCTGTAGAGCTTATTTCTAGTAGAAAGTGATTTTAACAAATGATTGCAATGCCCTTCTTTGCAAACCAAAATCTTAGACTAAGAGTTTTTCTTAAACTCGGGTATTAGAAGCAGAATTGTAGCTTTTATAAAGAAAGCCACATATTCTTCTTTGTAGAACAGAATGAGAAAATCAAGTTTAGTTATTTTTCCTCTTTCCTTTCACTGCTTACAGAAGGGCCAAACTCACAAGTCCTTCCCTTGGGCAGTTCTTTTGGGAAGCTCTAGAGGCTTTTGTTCCCATCTGGCCCAGTGTCATTATAAACTTCAAATAGCTCCTACCTGGCAGCTCCTGTGGGTCTAGAGCAGCAGTTCTCCGCCGTGGTCTGAGGGCTCATGGGGATCTGTGAGTTGCTCCTCAGGAGTCTCTGAAGGGTGGTTGAGGTCAGCAAGGCCTGTCAAGGGGCTGAAATGGTTTAATTCATGTGTGGTCTCTGCCTCTCTTGGCCAGTTTGTAGAGCGAGAGCCTGAAAACTGGCATTACTTTTGCTTCATTGTGGAGGCTGCCTGAGGGAGGGGACCTGCAGAGTTTTTAGGCCAGAACCATTTCCAAGGACACCTCCTGCTCCAGGAGCCCACACCGATGACCAGTGGCACATGAGACAGGCAACACCCGCATCCCATGAGCCACAGCACCCATACAGTGAATCCCAACAACCATGGCCAGATGATATGTGTTTTCCATTGCTTACGGAATGGTGGTGACACAAACTCAGTGCAGTCAGGGCAAGCAAACCCCTGATTTGACTTTCCCTCCCGCCCTGCGAGGGCTGGCACAGGTTAACCAGGATTCACTGTGCTCCTCCACGCCATGGCTGATGGTTTTACTCCGTGCCAGGGGTGGGAGACTGTGGGGAAGGGGGGTCTCTTTTCATGTATTTGTATAGGAACTCTTTTTTTAAAAGCTAGCATTTTTATGTCTAGAAAGTAAAAAGACATTGTAAAATGTAATTGTACTGTATTTATGAAGAAAATACATTTCTTTTCAAAAAGATCTCATTCTAAGTTGGTTTTAGAGTCTGACTTCCAACAACATCATCTCCTAGGCTTCCAGAAGCATTGAAACTCCTCTGGGTTGCACATACACCATTAGGGCTGTGCTATACTCCTGAGATGGAAGAAAAAGATGACCCTCTGCCCACCCATCTCAAGCAGAACCTATATTGAAGTATCTGAACACTAAACTCTTGTTCAGCTTGGGCTCTGCTCAGGATCAGCAGTGAGAATGCTGAAAATAGCTGTAGGGAAGTCTGGAGCAATGCAGCTTCCCAGCCTTGCCTCCGGGGAGAGCTGGGAAGTGGCTGCCCCTTTGCTTTGCCTGGGAGCAGGGTGCACCCCAAGAAAGGCAGGCTCAGGCCCCCTGTCCTGTCCCTTGGGTCTCTCCCATGTGTAGAGAATGAGCTTTGGGGGGCAAATGGCTTCAACCCAGTTTCCCCTTTCAGCAGGGTTATGGTCTAGAAGGTGAGAAATGAGTCACAAGAATGATCTATATAAATCTATATTGGAGTGAATAATTTTTTTTTTCCTCTATTTAAACCATCAAGTTAGTTTTGCAATTTGTGACTGAGCTGTTTTGCAATCCAGCTGTTGAAACAGCCCTAAAAGCCTTTGAAGGTTACAGCAGCTTTAATTCTAGGAAAGAAAACAAAGAAATAAGTGTAAATAGGCACTGAGAGCTCTTGTAAATGGCTATTGTTATGTTTGTAGCCAGCTATAAAAATATTTGGTGTGGTTTTAAAGAATGGTTCCTCTGTTTTCATTTTTCCCCCCACTGATTTACTTGTTTTGCAGTCAATTTTCTTAGTATGAAAGCCTTATTGATTGGAAAACAAACCAAATCTTCACCTTATCTATTCCTTGCTGCTGCTTGGCCTCTGCCTTTAAGATTTTGACTGCTAACTGGAGGTTTTGCAGGGCAATGTCATTGTCAGCCCAGTCTCTTCCCTTAAGCATCACTTTGTATTCTCCCCCAGGCCCGGTCCTGCAGCTGCACAACCTCTGCACACTTTCATGCCTTTTTAATAACCACATGAACAACACTTGCTTATTATAACTTCAAGCTGCAGTGCCAGTCATCTCTCCTTTGATGGCCGGACCATTGTTTAGATGTCTAAGGGTGACAGCACTTGAGTAACCTGCAGTTGTGTGAG